CAGCTTAACATAAGTTAAATCCGTGTTATTTCTTCTGTAGCAGAGCTGTATCCGAAGCGATCCATCGGAATGTCCATATAAGCACAGACTCCAAACCACAGAAATGCCTTTCAGCTGCACTCGATCTCACCATAAAGTTAGGGGATAGACTTGATGACCCCTTAAGGTCCCCTCCAGATGGGTTTCTTACAATCCCCTAACAACACAGTGTTTCGAACCAGTCCCTACCTAGCTTTCCCTTAAAGGCCAGGTTCACCCTACATCTCCGTCCTGGCTTCCGATGGCCACGGGAGCCAGCGTGGGCTCAGCCCCTCGGTGTAGCCATCCCCACCATTGCACCCGCTCGCCAAACCAAAACACCTCCTGCAAACAAAGCTTCCCCCCCGAGCAAGATCCGACAGCTGCTTCCCAGCCTCCCACCTCCGAGAAACCCGGCCAGGAGAAGCACTTACCGTGGGAGAGGGCTCATTCCTCCCACCACCGGGATTAGTCCCCCCATGACCTGGGAAAGGGGCTGGGGGGGGTGAGAGAGGAAACACACGGGTGGCAGTTCTCCAAAAGTTAAAGTTTTGTTGCCTTTTGGGGCAAGTTTGAGGGGTGTTTGCAGGCAGGAAAAGAAAAATATATGGGAAGCTTAAAGTATAAGCTGCTTCGGAAGTCATCTGTTCATGGCCTCCGCCAGAGCCCTCAATATATCTTCTTTATTAAAAATCTGGACACAATGAGTCCAGAAGTGCCCACCTTTGTCAGGGCTGCATTGGCAACGTGCCTGGAGCCCTGGGGCCATGCCTAATTTGCATCTCATTTACACAGATGTTCATTAAAATTAATGCCTTAAGACATAATATCTGCCCGCATTTGAGCCTTCTGGACAGACGGACCGCGACCGCTCCTGGAGAGCCCCAGCCACCCCATCCTCCTCCCCACGCTCAGCTGCATCGGCCCCACGCCGCCCCGGGGAGCACTGCCCGGCCAAGGAGCCGCCTCCGGTCCCCACGGACACACGGCGCGTGCATCTTGTTTGCAATCCAAGGCGGCAGACAGTTGTGATATTACCTTAGGTGCAGAGACATAAGAGCCCGGGGACACCAAAAAAAGCCCCCCGTGCTCGCTGCCTCCCCCAGAGCCCATGCCAGACTTCTCCACCGCTCTCCCTCCTGCACTTAAGGAGTACAAACGGTCCCTGCCTGGATGCTGCGATGCCCTTCCACGTGCAGATCAGTATCTGGAATTGCATTTCCCCTTAGAGAGAAGCGTAAGATGAGGCTTTGCAAAGATCTGCTCTGCAACATTTACGATCCATGCAAAAAAAATGCTTGCTCTCTGGATGAACCAAAAAAAAAATGCCGCTGGGTAACCACGATTGCTCCATCCACCCTTCTGGCTTCTCCCCCATTTTATTCTCAGCCATTACAGGGCAAACCCCAACCATCACTGCTGCAACTTTCATTTTTCCATGAACAAAGACCCCAACTGCACCGTGTGGCCTCAATGGCCAACAAATGACTCCTGGTGAGGACACGTCACTCCCCAAAGCACCCTTGGCTGGTGCAGCCCAGGACACCGTTGTCTTAAAGGGTAATCCTCAAGGTCACGGAGATATAGACCATTTGCAAGTGCTACGACAGGTTAAGCTGCTCCTGCCGGCCCCGCTTGCCAGCCTGGTCAACCGAGCAATCTGCACCGACGCTGGGTTTCATCATCGTTTCTAATGAGAGCTGCTCAGCCGGGAATAATCCCTTGCTCTGCAGGAAAGTTTCACTGGTTTTAAGGACTAGAAACTCCTTTTTAAGGACATATTCGTTCCAAGCAACTGTGTGGTGTTTAATGTTGAAGTCAAATCCTTCCCATCAACGTAAGCTCAAGGCTGCCCAATGCAAGAGTTAACAGCAACACGATCAGAGGAGTTTGAGTTTGCCCTGTAAGTAACATTTCCAAGCCCTTTTTTTGGATAGGCAATCCCCAAACCAGAAATACCTTGTCCTGGTGAAGGTTTCACAGAGCTATTAAGTGGTGGAAGGGGATCAATTAGCCATGAGATGAAAAGTAAATGGCTGTAAAAACGCCTCCCCCTCCCAGCCCCCATTAACACCAGGAAATGAGCAGCCAGATGTAAATCAGCCCAATCATCAGCTACCGAGCACATCAGTAATAGAAGTTTCACAGCAAGAGAATGTCTAAGCAGTATTAATATAATTAATGTAGTGTAACAGCATGACCCAACATCATCATACTGGATAAAAAAATATCAAACACACTCTGACTCTTCCCTCTCTCAGCATTTCATGCAAGCCTTGATGGTCTCTAGCAGCTCTTTGCAGGAAATATCAACAGCAAAACTTTGCCTTGGATTTATTCCCTGTGCATGCCCCTCGTCCCACAGTCTGTCTGTGGCTTTATTTACACCCCAAAAATGGACTGATGTGTGTTGCAGATGAAGGCAACAACAAGCACGAACGGTAGACCAGGTAGAAAGACCTACAGGATGATCTGATCTGGACTAGGCTCTCAGATGAAGCCAACTTCCAGTTCCGATGGACTCAAAACCATCTTTCCTCCCCCAAAACCTAAATGCCGACCACCTCTACAAGCCCACGAGGTACTGGCACGCCAACATCACACATCACAAGGAGAACAGGCAAAGGTTTTTTCCTCCCAGTCACAAAATCTTTCCACATCTTTTCACTGCAGACGATCAAGTCCAACAGTTGATCTTATATTCTCCAGAGCAAGGATATTTTACTACACCAAAAATGCTGATGTTACAGCAATGAACAGCAAAGCCGCAGCAGCTTGAAGACTAGAGGTCCTACACAAAAGACCACAACACTAGGCAGACCTTCAAACACCAAACACCACTCAAGAAACACGAGAGCATTAAGACTTACCTTGAAGTCTGCCAACTGCTGGTTGATGGTGTCCACCTCTGTTCCCACCACCCACTGCAATGCCTCGTTCTCCTCCGCCGCGGTTGTCATGTGGGTCAGCTCCTTCAGCCTGTTGTAAAAGTCCTCGACACGAGACAGTGTCGTTTCTACCTGCTCCTGACGGTTCTTGCCTCTCTCGGTCAGTTTGCTGCACTGTTTATTCAGTGTCTCCAATTCACGTTTCAGTCCTAATAAATCGGGGCTCCCTTCATCCTCCAGCATCTTCTTACATTCACTTTCAGAAGCTTCAATGTCAGACTTCAGCCTGTGGAGTTTGCCCAGGAATGTGCGAACGTCCTCTGCTTGGGACTGAAGGCTGTCAGAGTCTCTCCCGATGGGGCCCATGCTGTCTAACTCATCATCGAGATCTGCCAGTTGAGAGAACATCTCCCTCACCCGATTATTGAATTGGCCGATCCCTTCAAGCTTGTTTTCCATGAGCGTGCAGCAGTCATTTACTTTCTGCTTCACAGCTTTGAAGTCCTGCTGAGCCACCTCAGCTTGGCTTAAGAGCTGGGAACAGTCAGACCCATCTGGGGCATCTTCTACTAGACCTTGAGTGAAGTTTTTCAGATAATCCACTTGTGGCTCCAGGGCCTGCAGCACCTCCTGCTGTGCCCTGAGCTTCTCCAAATTCTTGTTGCTGCAGGCTTGTGGCCCTAGTGCATCATAGATCTCCAGCTGGTGCTTCGCCCCTTCCAGCTTCTTCTCAATGTTCTTGAAGCTCTCTTGAAACTCCTTGAGCCTCTGTGACATTTCTTCGATGGAGCCCGTCTTGGCTTGCAGCTCTTCTGTGATGGCATCCATCTTCTGATTGATCCCAGCCTTCTCATCCCGAATGTCATCCTCATCGGTTTGAGAAGCATCAATCAAGATGTCGGCAGCGCTGTTCAGCATCTCCAGCAAGGAGCGACGCTTCTCCACGTCACTCAGCATAGCCTTTGATCTCAGAAGAGTCGCCTCCAGCTGCACAGGATCCAGAGTTACTTCCAGCTCAGACATCTTTGCCTTGCAGTCCTCCACCCAAGGCAGGAGGTCCTCTGTGTGCCGTTGGTACTTCTGAGCTTTCTGCAAACAGTCCTTGAGCTTTGAGTGTCTATCAGCAGCCTGTTTGCTGAGTTCTTCCCAGTGTGTTTTGAGGCTGACCAACTGGTTTTGCAGAGTGGTCTTCTCCTCCCCAGGCTGGACAGAAAGCAGCAAAGATTCTCCCTCGGCTACAATCATCTCGTAGGAGCCACTGTGTTGGTTGAGGCTCTTCTGGAACTCTTCTTGTTCCTGAATTTGGCTCTGTAGCCTCTCCAGTTTAGCAGAAATAGGTTGGCTCTGAGCTTGCTGGCACAGTTTGTCATCTAGCCAGGTCCTGAGTTCATCAAACATATGCTGGAACTGCTGGGAACTTGCAAGCGCAGTCTGCAGTCGGTTCATCCGGTCGGCTGAAATGGAAATAAGATTAGAACGCGACAATTAAGCTGAAATCAAATAAGCAAAGTGCAATTATTTAAAATCATCTCAGATGCACCAACTGTGTTTTGATTAACAGGAAGGAGCTTTCCATTGCATCACTAGCCTTTTTGCTCACTGATTCATGAATTTCTTCAGTAGTAACGGGCAATGGGAACGCAGTAGTCTCAGTTCTCCTGACTAATCTCTAATTGCAACCTCTCAGAAACCAGAAGAGGCACCCCAAGATTCAAGAGTGGCCACTGGGTCTTCTCCATGCCCCATTCTGAATTTAGGAACGAGGTTTTTCTTCCCCAAGCACAGCACATGCCACACTGCTGCAGGCCAGGCAGGCTTGCCAAAGAGCCACATTGGTGGACTAAACATCCCTGCTCACTCTCCAGGCTCAGGTACGTTTGGAGTGTGAACTCTCCTGTGCTTAGTCCCACACAAACCCACCCATGAAACACTCTAAAAAATGATAAATGGTGCTTCCCCTCTTATTCCCAGAAACCCAGTGATGGGCGAGCCCTTTGGCAAAGAGCAGGGCTGGAGTTTGACATCCCAACATCTCCTAAGCCACTTCTCCGTGCTGTCTCACCTGCCAGGTCTTCCAGCCCTTTGAGAGGAAGCGCCACCGTCTCCAGACGTTTCCTTAACTCGTCTTTGAGATACTGCTCCCCAATGAGGACAGAGAGGTCATCACAGAGGGTCTGAGCCTCTGCGATCTCCTCTTCCAGCTGCTCCAGGTCCGAGCGGATCTCACTGGTTTCCTCCAGCTGCTGTTTCACGGCATCGGGCTGTGTGCTGACGGCCGACTGGCTGCTTAGGCGCTGCCCAACTGCCTTCACCTTCTCAGAGAGGCCCTGGAGGAGCTCCTGGTACTGGGTGCTCTTCACTATGGCTTGGTCAATTTGGCTGGAGCGGGAGTTGAGGCGTTCCGTTAGCTCGGACCATTTCTGATTAACCCCTTGGAGCTCTTCTCGCACCTGGTTAGTGGATGGAGAAACATCGCCGGGGCGAGTCAAGATGCTCTGAGCTGCCTGGTTGAGCTGCTCATGCTGCTGTCTGCGTGCTTCAAATTCCTTCAGCATAAACTGGAACAGAAATAACATAAAAATGTTTGCATAAAACTGACAGCTCCGAATACACACAGTCAAAACAAACCAGACCTCCAGGGGCTTCATCCAGCCCACTGCACCAGTAGGAACAAGTCCTGGGCTGGGATTGCAATTGGGCTGGGGCGGCAATTGGGCTGGGGCGGCAACTGGGCTGGGAAACTCCACAATTCATTGTGACCTTGCAACCTAAAAAGCTGAAGGGGTCTGCAAAGCCAGTACTTGGCTCTCTCTCTTACATCTGTCCTACTGCTGTGGAAGGTAACATAAACCAGTTAGATGAGAGGGCAATCTAATTATGTTAACTGGGGCATTTTATTTTATGATGTGGCCGGTTACGGACATGTTAGGCTTTGGAAGCAGGAGGTGGGAGAAGGGCAGACTGCCAGGCGGAGGGGCAGCATTAGCAAGTCCTGCAGAGCATCAGCACAGGTCTTGTTTAAAGCAATTTCACTCTCCGAGAGGGGCCAAGTGATTCACCGATGAGTCAATCCAGTGCGGGGAAGGGAGCTCGGGCGCTGCACCCGTTTCAAGTTATTCACAGTAGTTTGCACTCAGCGGGGTTTGGAGGACTTGGGAGAAGAGCCAGGAGGTCTCCCAACATTCGCTGCACGGCAGAGCGCTTGCAAGACAAATAACCCTGAGCGCAATCTTCCACCTCGCCGACTGGGTGAGATACCCCCCCTCCTCGTCTTGAACCCACCGTGGAGATGCGCACCCAGCTCCCGGCTCACCTGGACCTGCTGCTTCTGCGCATTCAGCATGTTGGGGTCGATGGAGAGGGGTCCCAGCACGCTCATCATCAGCTCCTTCTCCATGAGCCAGGGGCGCAGCTGGGCTTCGGCAGCCTGGAAGCTGGCCAGCTGGTTTGCCGACTCCTCCAGCTTCTGCTGCCGCTCGGCCGTCGCCTGGCTGGCTCTTTCCCACCTGCAATCTGAAGCACCAGCTGCGTTGGCGGTGGTCGTGCTCCCAGTCAGCCCACCCCTCCATCGAGAAGGTTTTTTTTACCCTCCCCATGGTTTCCCTGATGGGAAACCTCCTCAGCTTTTCAACAAAACTAGCGTGGCTCTATTCACTCTCCATCTAATTAGCTCTTGCCCATCTCTAATGGCTACGTGGTCTTGAAGCTCATAGGAAAAAAAACCTTGCAAGCAGGATTTCTGCGCTCTAGTCACTACTGCCATGAGCTGGTCTGACCTTGGGCGAGCCATCTCACATCCCTGGCTCGATAAATGAGGATACTTTCATGTGTATCAGTCCTCACACAGCACATTCAGATCTCCTGGACGGAGAACTCCGTAAACACGTTCCTGCTATTTCAAAGAAGAGAATCTCTGGGCTTCTTTTTAAGCACACAGTCTTGTTTAGTCAACATTTAATTACCTACGATAGCCTTACTAATGATGAGAATTTCATATCAAGCAGTGAAGCTTTTAAATCAAAATAACCAACCCATGTCGCTAATGCTTTTTTTCTTTGCTTTTTTTTTTTTTTTTTTTTTTTTAAAAAGCAGTATCACAAGGAGGCAAGTCTTTAAAATACACATCCATCATCGAGATTTCATTCATCATGACAGTGCTCATCTCAGGAACACCTTGTACACCAGACAGCTTGGAGAGAAGTTCGCTATTTACTAAATTTTAATTAGAAGCGACTCTGCTCTGCTGCGACTTTGGAATTGCCCCGCAATCCTGAACCATGGCTAACGCAATGTTTCAAGACAGAAGCCTCGCTAAGTGCTTCGGGCACTTACTCAGGTCCTCCTGCATCTTCTTCCAGTTTGCTGCTTCTGGAGAATCTGGATATTTCTCCAGCAAGCCCGAAAGTGCTTCCTTTACCTTCTGGATCTTCCCTGAATTCTGTTCCAATTCAGCCAGAAATGCCTGGAAAAAAAAAAAAAAATCATTGGAACTTCTTCAGGCAAAAGAATGAAATCACCGAGCAGGAACGAAGCAGCAGCTACAAGCTGGATTTGGACAACTTCTGCTCTTTTGCTCTTTAATGAAATCACTTCATTTTATTAGCAACATCGTGAGCTAACTTGGCTCCAAGAGCAGGCAAAGGCTGGGAATTGCTTTCCAGGAGGAGCTGGAGTGACCCAGCAACAAGGGCTACAGATAAGCTCCTCTTCCCTGAGCCAAATGCCTGAAAGCAACAGGTCTAAAAGGAAAGAGAGCACAGCACGGGGGCTCCCGCGATCCCTCCTGGGGAAAGCCCTTCTTTAACCCAGGGCAGATCCTCGTTGCTGATCCTTCTAGCCCTGCTGCACATCTCCGAGATCCTTGGGGAGGAAGGGCTCCAATCCCTGTTTTTCGCTCTGGAAGAGAAGTTACCTTGTTGTGCTCAGCCTGGGCTCTCATCGTCTCCGTCTTGGTGGGCGAGGAGGAGGCGTCCAGCTCCGACAGCGTTCGTTCCTTCGACTCCAGCCACTTCAGCATGGAGCTTGCCTCCTCCTGCACTTCTTGCATCTTCTCCAGCATCACCGAGAGCTGCTGCTGGCGTTCCTGCAGCGCCGCGCCGAGGGCCTGGTACTGCTGGGTCACGTCCGCCACATCGCACTGGATCTCGGTCAGATCTGTTTCCAAAAAGCAGCCTGAGATGAGGACCGCTGCCTGCGTTGCCCATCTTAACCTGGACTAGCAGGTATTAATCTAGCCCCGGGCAGCCACAGCCGGCCAAGCAGGAGGAGCATGAGGCCACGCTGCCGTCCGTCTGTCTGCAGAGCAATGTCAGATTATCCTCACCTCTCATGCCAGAGGGGCCCTTCCAGTCGCACCACGTACGCATGTTGACAGCTTGCAAACAAAGCAAACGCCGTCGTGTTTGTGAGACTGATGCAAGCTGAGCCCCCCTTTCGCAATGTCACTGCTAATACAGTGTTAAATAATTTGACACCGAAATATAAAGCCGTTTTTATGCACCTCTTATCTCATTGAACCGGTGAACTAACAGCAGATAACGGGCAATAATTAAAATTGCTCTTCAAACTGAAGGGTTGGATGGGTTACAATCCCTTAGAACCAATAAATTTAATTGCAGGCCTTAAAATGATCGCCCATTTATCAGCTTTTAACACCACCTGATGGGGTGTCAGGGTGTTGTCACTCCCCAAAGCTGCCCCTCTCCGTCCTTCAGCCTGACCTACATCCTCCATCACCGCCTGCCCGGCCCGTGGCTCCGGCTCCCGCACCGCACGGCCGAGAATCCACGAGCCTATTTGCAGGCTCATTTCACTTGCGCCGGGATGCTGACGGTGTCACATTGTGGTTTATATTCTCACGGATGGAAATGCACAGACAAAAACGGACAGGGAGACAGCGAGGCGGCCTGGGCACGCGCGTGCCAGCACAGCGGTGACAGCCAGCTCACCTTTGCACGTGTGGTATCCGTTCACGCTGCCTACTGACCCTCCCGGAGCGGGCAGCGCGGCACCTGAGCAGAGGGGACGGAGACAGACAGAGGGACAAGACAGACGCGTTAGGAATGCAGACAGCAAGCGATGAACGGCCCTCCACGACATGGACCACACCGGCCACCAAGCACAGACGCGGCGTCTCCACGGGCCCACCCGCCTGGCGCTGGTGAACCCACCGGCGCGGCACCGAGCCATTGGCATTCCTTTGATTTGGAGCCCGTTTGCTTCTCCTCCTCCCCACACACTCACACCCCTCGCTTTCCCGGAGCTGCTCCTGCCTCGCTGGACCAGAAGCAGAAGAGCTGAAGCCATCTGGAACTGGGCACCTCTCCCAACATCACCCAAGGTGGACGTGGCACCTGCACGGACTGTAATACTGGGGGCCACTGGCCACCTCTCCGCCCCTGGAAAGCTGCTACCCTGAGCGTGATTTTGTGAATTATAATACCAGTGAGACCTCTGAACACCTTCCCTGGGGAGATGAACTCCCCCATTTTCTCCTTTTCTTATGGGATGAAGCTACCGAAAGCTGCCTTGGTGCACAGAGACGCCCTCTTTGCCAGGAGGCTCCACGCTGGCTGCGTCAGGGTCCCCTCCGCGGACACCAGGTATCACAGCTCCATTCACAACCAAAGGGGGATTAATCAGAAACGTTATCAGGTACTTCTGATAATGCTCCGAGGGCTGGAGCCCCTCTGCTGTGAGGCCAGGCTGGGAGAGTTGGGGGTGTTCAGCCTGGAGAAGAGAAGGCTGCGGGCAGAGCTGAGTGCGGCCGCTCAGGGCTTCAAGGGGGCCCAGAGGAAAGGGGGGGACAAGCTTTTTAGTAGGGCCAGCTGGGACAGGACAAGGGGGGATGGTTTTAAACTAAACCAGGGTAGGCTTAGACTGGATCTAAGGACAAAATTCTTTACAATGAGGGGCGTGAAACCCTGGCAGGGGTTGCCCAGAGAGGGGGTGGAGGCCCCATCCCTGGGAACATTCCAGGTCAGGTTGGACGGGGCTGTGAGCAACCTGATGTGGTTCAAGGTGTCCCTGCTCCTGCAGGGGGTTGGGCTGGGTGACCTCTGGGGGTCCCTTCCAACCCAAACCATTCTAGGACTCTGTGATCTCTCTCTCTCTAACAATGCATTTTAAAGCTTTCATGGATATAAGGGGCTGCAGCTTTGGTCACCCCACATGGGTGACCATGCCAGTCACCCACAACAAGCCTCTCCCCACTTCTCCTGGAGGTTTCCCACTGCTCATCGGGTTAACCCTGACAAACATCTCTAGACCGTGAATTCCCATAAATGCCCATCAATGCTGAGAGTCCAGAGGCTTGTTCTCACGAGCTGGAAGACATCTTTTAGTTGGCTTCCAAATGAATCAGACATAATCTCATCGCTTCACAGACTTGAAGCCAAAAAGGAGACTGAGTAAACCACATCTGAATATTGCAGTCTTAAATTTCATCCAGATATGAAACCCAACTACTGCAGTTTGATTAAAATGCTCCAGTCCCCAAGGGGGCTGAAGCACCAAGAGAAGAAGCAGGAGCCTCCTCCATGAGCCCCCCCGCGGGGCCGAGAGCCTGGACCCCTGCGCTGCGGCAGCCCAAAGCTCCCGTGCTCCATCCGAGCGGCGGTACGTGTCCCCACGGCAAACACAGCGTAATTCAGTGCTCGTTACCCTACAGCAAATTAAGCCAAGTTGGGCTCTGAGCGTTCAGCTGATGCATTAACACAACAAGCGGCAACAACTCAACTACGGGGCTGAGCCCCATGATACTTGGACCACCACAGGCCCCCTGAAGTTCGTTAAAAAGGGGAAATAACCCCATTTTTTCCTTGAGGCAGGCTCAGAGAAGATGCAATGAGAGCAAACAGAGCTCTGAGGAAGCAGGCGTCCTTGGGAGAGCCGGGCTGTGACTCACCTGCCTTGGACGGGGTGTCGGGGGCCGTAATCTCCACAATCAGGTTCTCCAGGAGGGTCCCTCTGCAGCCGATCTCCTCCACCTGGGCCCCCTTCCCCTTCCACTCCTCCAGGAGATCCTGCTCAAAAACAAAGGCTGGGATTGGAGGCTGCGCTTGCCCCGCCGCAGCCCTCCTTCCTCGCCCGTCACCTCTGCGGTGGCTCGGTGGCACCGGGACACGGCGCCCAGGGAACTGGCAAAGGTCACACCAGCACATGGCAAGCAGACGGCACCGGGAGAGCGGGTGTCTTTATGTGTATTTTTGTCAGAGGGAATCAGAGTGAAAAGCTCATCCCTAACCAGCAGGTCTGCCACAGGAAACCTTCTTCTCCCTCCTACTGTTTTGGGGACCTCCCTCCTCCTCCTCTCAACACAACCCAGCCTGACACAAGTCTGGTCCCTGCAGCTTTCGGTGGAGCCGGCAGCGTGCCGGAGCCCAGCGGCGCTGCTGCGGGGTGCGAGGGCCGCGGGTGACTCAGCAGCCGCTGCTCTGCCTCTGAGTCAAACCCTTGGCACATCCGGATTTAAAGCATCACGGTGCTGGAGAGGAACGGGGGCTTGGATGACGGGAGGCCACCTTCCGTGTCTAGCAAGGGGAAACACTCAGCAAAAATGAGTGTGCTCGGCTCTCCCACTCCCAAATTCCTGCCCTGAGCAGGCAGCGGGGAGGGAAGGGAAACCAGCCCAGGAGGACCTTCACACCGCTCCCTTCTCCGCACGCCCAGGACCACTGGATGCACAGGCACCAGGGGGCTGCAGCCCAGCAGTGAATATGGGGGACCCCAGGACTCCTGAGACCACAAATCACTGCACAGGACTCTCCTTCCTGGGATTTATTCCACGTTCCGGTGTTTCCACACCAGCTGCCAACTTTCCCAGTCTGGTTCCGGCTCCTGCTGCCCACCTGGATCTGCTGCCGGCATTTGTGCAGCTCCTGGGTGCCCAGAGAGGTCTCGGCAGGCGGCATTTTGCCTTCGCTCTCCCTCAGCCACTTCCTCATGGCCCCGACCAGCTTCCGAAATTCATCCAGTTGCTCCTGGCAGGACGATGCATCCTTTTCTCTGAGAGTGAAAAGGTTTCAGAGAGTCAGAGCTCGTGCTTTGCCTTGCAATTACCCCCGCTTGAATGTAGCACAGTTGTGTCTCTGCGAGCCCTTCTTTTTATTATTATTATTATTAGATGTTGCTTAGGAACAGCGCACGCAGCGCCAGCCAAAGTGGGGTGCACGCCGCAGCCTGCCCCTCGCCGCCGCTGTCCCCCCAAGCCATGGCCGGCGCCACTTTTGGGGCTGCTCCAGCACCACCGTGGGACCACTGCTGCCAACCTGCGCCAGCTCTGCACCCCTCTCTTTTGTCCTGGGGGGGGAAGCAAAGATTTCGGGATGACAGAGCTCATTCATGCTGCCTGCTCCGGCCAGCTGCAGCGGGGGAGGCCAGGCTCCGCCGCCCCTCCTCCCTGGCCACAGCTCTCATCTATTCAGCCCATCCCGGAGGAACAAGGCAGCCCCCGGCCGGGAGCCACGGGCCCCTCCGGCTCACCCTCGCCAACCGCAGCTGCGAGCAGCCTGCACGGGGCCGGCCGGAGGCAGTTCTCTGCGTGGCACTGAATTTCTGGGCGTTATTAAGAGATTCATCTGCTTTTCCCCATCACCTTCCCTGTACTCACCAGGGCGGCTGGAGATGCAGCCTTGGAGGTGCGACCCCCCCCGGGACACAGGCGAGCTGCCCCGCTAATCCTGCTCACACTGCCACGGCCCATTTGGGCTCAAGCTGCTGCTAAAGCTCCCCTTGAACCCCACTTTGGGGGACGCTGGGGACAGCCAGCTCTGCTCTGTCACCTCCCAGAGAGCACGCCTGGGGCAGGCTCCCGATCCCCCACCTCCCGGAGAGCACGCCTGGGGCAGGCTCCCGATCCCCCGCCAGCATCCCGCTCCCCTCCGGCAAGATGCTCTGGGATGGAGCTGTGGCAGCCTACACGCCGGGAAACGCACGAACGCCAGCTCCTGCGGCACCAGGAATTTTTCACAACGCCCCCAGCCAAGGCTTTTTTTAAAGCGTCAGCTGGAGCGAGCTGCCTTGTGTGTCCTGGTGTGGGAGGAGGGAGGGAAGAGTTCGCTTGTGCCCCCCCCGCCCCATGGAAAGGAGATCTCACGGGGTCTTGCTCTGACCACGAAGCCACCCCCCAATCTCACCTCCCCAGAAAGTGGCCGGGTCCCCGAGACTCACCTCTCTTTTGCCACCTTCTGCAGCTGCAGAAAGTCTTTCTTCAGGCTCTGCAGCTTCTCCTGCTGCTGGGAGGTGCCGGGGGCGAAGCCGCAGGAGCCCAGCTCTGCAGCCAGGTGCTCCAGGGTGGCCAGGTCCTCCTGGTGCTGCCTCATCTCTGAATTCAGCTCCTGCCAAGGGCAAAGGGCGATGCCAACCGTGCCCTTGCCAGCAGACTTGGGCAGAGGGGATGAACCAGGCAGCCCCACGTCCTGGCGAGCCGGAGAGACCCTCTGCGGGCAGCGCCACAAATTGCACTAGCAAATACTTTGAGCAGCTGTGGGTGCAAGTCCCACCCTCCCTGGTGCTGGTGTAAGGCCAGGCAGTGAATGGGATGGGGGGCCCTAGACCAAGCCAAATCAACACCCAAAAACCCCCAGCACAAGTGTCCGGTTTTACACCAACTTCGAGCATTCCTGAGGCTGTGGTCAAACCTCGCCCCCGAAGCAGAGCACTCGTAGGAAGCCAGAGGGAGGAATCCCGTGCAGCCGTGACCGGCCAGCGGGACCCACGGCATCTCCGAGGGCTTTGTCACGCCCTGCACTGTGCTTACTGCCAATCTCGGGCCTTTTGCTGTATTAATCCCACGGAGTCTTTAACTGGTAAAACCTTGCTATATTTGGACTAAGAGCCTGGCTAGAGATCCCTTCTGAAAACCAGCCTGGCTCCAGGGAAATGCCATTCCCCTCTCTCACTGCTGGAAACAGCCTCAGCCTCTCCGGCTGCGCTCCCTTCCCCAGGCAAAGAGGCAGTACAGGTCCTGCGGATCCTGCCAGCCTGGGAGTGAACCAGGGACTGTTTGCCTAGGAAGAAATCATTGCAAAACAGCCCTGCCCTAGAAACACAACTCAGGTGGAGTCTTCTTCCCCTGCACCTCACCTGGATGTGCTGGGAGAAGCGAGCGATGTCGCGGTCTGGCTGGTTCCCAGCTGCCAACATCCGTGCTCTGCTCTCCGTGAACTGCTGCAGCTTCTCCGCGAGCTGCTCATACTGCTCGACCTTGGGGAGGAGGCCCTTCAGCGCGGCCTCCCTCTCCTGCTGCCGCTGGCACAGCCTGCCGAAATGCTCCGTCACCTCCGCCAGCTTGCCCTGCAGGGCCGTGCCTCCATGAACCGTGTCACCATCTCCCGGGTGGCTTCCAGGCAGCTCTTCTGCCTGGCGATGTCCTGCTTCAGCTTCTGTGGAGAACACGCACAGAAAGGGATGCCATTTGAGGAAGGCTCTTGAGCAAAACTGAACTGGCATGAAGGGGCTGGGCCGCCCTTGGGAAAGAATAATCGGGCAAGAATAGTGTTTTTATCCCGGTTTTCCTTTCCTTTCTGATCTCCCCAACCTGCCCTGCCTTCTCCCGGTGCCTGATATCTAAGCCCTGCTTGCCAGCAGAAGAGAGACTTTCAACAGGTCTGCGTCCTGGCTTAAAGATATGAAGTCAAAGTTCTGCTTATATCCCTTTTTAGAGGGTTTTTTTTGTGCTTTCAGAATGCTGTAGCTAACCGCTAGCAACTGCCCACATGGTTCCGCTCCTGCAGACGGGCGCCTGAGGCGGGGGAGCCCAGGGACCACCCTTACCGTGCTCGTGGCAAGCGAGTCCTGGATGGAGGAGGAGGAGAGCATGGCTGGCTGCTCTCCTTCCAGGTTCTTCTCGATCTCAGCCACCGACTGGAGGAGGCTCTCCAGGCTCTCCTGGACGCTCTGGGACTGGGCGATGGATTTCTGCAGCAGGTCCGAGCGCTCGGCCATCTGCTGGGAGAGGCTCTGGAAGCGGCTCATGATGGCATCTGCAGAGTTCAGCACGAAGGAAAATCAGCGCCAAAGAGCTTCTTGCCTGGTGCTCAGAGAGCAGCAAGCACCACCCTTGGCTCCTGCCAAACTCCCGCTGACGACGAATCCCCATCCCCAAAGCCAGCAGCGAGACAGGGGACCCAATGCAAATGGCCAAACTGGATCTCAGCCCCCGCCACGTGCAAACGCAAGCCCTGAAGACGCGTTGCTGTGCACCTTTATCCCACCTTCCCCCAAAAGTGGGAGGTTTCTTCCCTCCTCCCTCCCTGGGTGGTTTTCACGCTCTCCCCCGCCACCCCTGCTAACGCAGGCGGCTGCTTTGCTCTGTACCTGTTGTTTCCTGAATGCGCCCGTGGGCCGG